GGTCAGGACGGCGGGGAGCCGCCCTTGAAGGCACCAGCAAGTTGGAAGAGGAATAACCGAAACGAGGAAAGATGCCAAGTTGACAGGAGGAGAAGCTAAGTTTTGAGGCATTTTTCAACAATCGGAAACAAAGATGGCGGTTTGACCTCGCTTTCGCAACCTGATCGTAGTGTTAGAGAACCCGATGAATACACCTCGTCCGGACTCCTCTGCCACAAGAGTTACGATAATTTCCGGTGTCAGATCATGGACCAAGTACGTTTTAGATTGAGGTTAGGTGTAGGAAACACAGGCAAGAGAAGAAGAGACTAGTGGAATCGTTTGGACGAGTCGCTGAGACTGGTAAATCAAAGAAGTGACGACGCCCCCACCCATCCGTAGAGCCAAGCCAACTTCCTGGCCAGGACACCGGGGTGGGGAAGGGCAGCCGTCGAGGGTCTGCTGTACCCTTCGTTTCGAAAGGATGCCTTACAGTGGTGTCTGCGAACAAGTCCTCGAAACAGCCTTCTGCTAACCAATGACCTCGGGGTGGGATTTCGTCCGTCCCGCTGTGACTGGATGACTCGACTTTTCAGTTCGACGGAAAAGTTGGTCTTGCAGCTCAGTCCTGGACTTCACCTCCACAATCAAGTCTCCACTCCAAAGCAATTCTTTATCCTTTTCTGATCATCCTCTTCTATCGAAACGACAAATCGAGACATACTACATCATCAGCAATGCCTTCGAAGTCCAGCTTTCTGATATGCTGCCGTGACAGATCTAGCCGGAGCATAAATCTAAAATTTGGGAAAATTTCCCCGTGTATGCGTCCTATTAAACGAAATTAATAGCAACATGAATCTATAATAGAATTCAACTACTCTCTGTATCCACGGGGCTCAAGTGAGGCTGTAATGCCTGAGATTAATTACAATTTATTCATGATTCGGTGGGACATGATTTATGTAGGCATTCGTGCCAAGTCGAAATCTAAATCGAAGGAGGGCTCCTCGAAAACTGCAGTCATCAGGTTTGGGTAAAGCGAAACATCTGGCTTAATACCGATAAACAGACAGACACACACTCATTGTATATGCCCGCCTTGGTCAAAGCGAGAATGTCACTTGGAATGCAAGAAGAAGAGATGAGGTCTTCTATTCGCCTACTGCGGAAAGTCAGTCGTCAAAGGCGAATTGAGGTTCAGGCATGGCTCCGGTGGCACTCTTGCCAGAACGGCAGAGCCGATACGTGGCGAGTTCACTCAACCCAAGCATTTGGAAAGATACACCCACAATGCCATTCGGCTTCGAGAGTCGACACTCCAAACCAACAAATCTCGGCTATCGCATCCGAGATCCCCAGAAAACCCAGCTGGTGCGTTTATTTAGACCGGAGTCTAGGTGGGTTCACATCGTGTCGATTCGGTGAGAACCAGTCTCCACAGTACGAGACTCCTTGGCACGAGTGAAACTTGTGCATCCTATAGAATAGGGCATACCAGGGAGAGCGGATATGCCCATTTGAGCGGAGAATAAAGACACGCCCAAGATGGTCTTATCCAGCCCGAAGGTGGACGACTAGCAGTGAGAAGGAAACCAGAGACCGGACGGACGAGTAGCCACCAGTGGGCCAGTGAAATGGCGACACCCACAAACGAGCTCAGAGTGACTGCGCCCAGTTGTAGCCGGCAAAATTAGGGAATGGTCGCAAAGAAAGGATGCCGTCTCATCGCCTCGCTGGCGAATGAGAGGGTCAAATGTGCAGATGAAGTAAGAGGGTTGGAGGAGGCAAGTAGAGGTGCACGCCACAATCACACTCCAGGTGAAGAAAGGAGAGGAATGCGGATGCGGACATCACCTGCACGGAGCGAATGTTACCGGCCACATTTGCAAGCGTTCCCATGAACCGGTTTCACCATTTCACACTGCCGGCCCAGGCACCGGTGCGATTGCGCGGC